AAAAACAATGCCCACCTCAAGATGTGCTTCTGATCTGTGCTGCACTCCAAGTGTTGTAGGATATCGATTGACCACACGGCAGCTGTCCAAGAGCCCATCGATCTCCGTTTCTGGCAAGAAGGGTTCACCAGCTGCCCAGTCATGAGTTTCTCCATCTACCGGAATCTTTGTTTGACACATCTGTTTGATTCCAGGTGCATCTCCGTCAGTTAGTGACTCTAGTGAATTGAGAGTAGATGGCACAAACCTCAAGAGGTGGTCTATTCGGAGTCTCATCTCAAAGACATGTTGGGAGCCCAATGCCATCTACTCTGAAACCACTCTGCAACTTTGTTCTATCTGATTTGCTTCAGTCCAAGGAAGAGTTCAGGGAAGTGGCACAGAAGTGTCCTCAAAACGAAGAGTACAATTGAGGGGGCCCATGTTCCACTTCCATGATCATTTGCAGGGAGCGCAACCACAAATGTACCACAACTCTTGCAGAACTATCCCAATCCGATCCCCAATCTTATCATTGAAACGCATCACTCCAAAACTTTTCCGACCACCCCACAGCTTCTGGTCGAGTTTTCTCCCAATTTGGCGGGTGACTGGAGGGTTGTCCAGTTCGCCAAGTGTCTGTGGTCCATCGAGTTTTTGGCCTTTGTAAGCTTTCGACTGCTTCGTGACTTCCCGCGTCTCCACAAAGGACCTTGACGAACGCTGGTGGAGGGGCGTCCCACTATGATTGATGCACTAAGAGGGATCAGGATTCTGACGCCATATAAAATGTTCATGAACACTCCAAGAAGCTCATCACTTTACATCTAATGTGGTCCAATAGAGGTTTGGCATGGGTGTATGAAAGTTGTTGGTGTTTTGCCAAGGCTTTGCGAAGGAATCCTGAAAGCACAACATCTGGGCTTGATTCAGCAGACATGATGAGTGATACATGTCAAATTGAGGATTGTTGAGGCTCTTGCTGCACTATCCTTGTCATGATGCCAATGATTATATGTCCCTTTTAAAGCTTCATCTCAAACGCCAAAGATAAATTCTGACCAGTGGCGTGAGCTTCAGGTACCAAACACCGCAAGCGATCATTTCCTGAGAAAGCGCCGAGGTCTCAACGTAACCTGAACCTCCCTGTAGAGGGTTGAGGGAAGATCCTCTCTCAGCAGGTTGGATTGTGCAAGTGTGTGAATTTTTTGCGCAAGCGGAAGTGGTTTTATCTTTCCAGAAAGTCTTACTGATTGATTCCCAATCCTCGACAAAACTGACAGAACCAAGCCCTTTGATCCAGGGGAGTCTGGAAAAATGGTTCTGGAGTCTGGAATATCACACCGACAGACCCACTGGAGTCGGTTGATGAGACCGTTTACCAAAGAGGGATTTAAGAAGCTTTGTCAGATTCGGGGGTTCACAGCTGCTTAGAGGCATCCCAGCCCCATGGCATGCAGCGAAGGAGGATCTGAGTACTTATAATACGAAGAAGAAGAAGAAGAAGAAGAGGAAAGCAGTAGAAGCAGTAACTACATTACTCGCTATGAGCATGGTTAAAGATGAGGAGCATGTGTTAAAATGAGGAGCCGCCCTATTAAAGTAAAGAAATCATAAGAAATCTATATATATATATATAGACTCTTTGCTCTATTGTACCATTGGTTTGTCGGGGTGCCTCCTGCAGTTCAATTACATGTCACGCAAATGGAAGATCGCTCCCTGGACAGCAATCTTCTTCCTATTCCATCTATTCTGGGGCCTGACTTTACAGAGGAACACACCCGGAACACCAAAAGGCTCCGGAACAAAAAAAATAGATGTTTAAAAATAGTATAAATATATATATATAATATATAGAGAGATAGAGATATAAAAAAAGGCCGGCCACCTCGGTTCGAAAACTTTATCCGAAGTGTCCCTGATCTCCATGCCCCAGGCAGCACGCCCACTCCAGCAACAGTGCTTATGTACTTCGGTCAAGAGTGCTTGCCTGCAAGAGCGGGGTCATCTTATGTGAAGGGACCGGACCCCGGTTGGGTCTAGGCACAAGGCCCGCATGGTGTCTCGAAAAGAATCTGAACGGTCCCGCATGGCGTACACAAGGGATGCTTCCCTGAAATGTGTTTAGAGAATCTGCCGACAGTGGCCCCCTGTTTGGCAGAACCGAGGCGGAAGAGAAGATCTTTCCTCCCCTCCACTCAACCCAGTCATTCCCGTTCGGCGTCACCCGAGCGAATCTGGACCGGGCTCGTGGGCCATCAACGAGCTGTCAACGACCCTTTTCAATTGATTTGTCAAGGCCAAGCTCCTCGAATCTCAGTACCAAACCAGGTCTATTGAATGCCACCAGGTCTAGACGAGTCATCCATGGCCAGGTCTAAGGACCTTTGTATCCTTTGTCGCAGGACAGCATGATGCCCTTTCACAATCTTTCACACACAATCATGTCCCTTCATTCATGCACTCTTGATCAAACCCACCAGACCTGCAAATCCACCAACTCCTACCGTTAACAGAACACCACTCTTCCCCTTTCCCACATCTTTCCCACATCGCATGCTCACCTCAATTGCCCATCCGTCCAAACGGTCTTGGAGCTCACCGCCGTCCCGGGCGGCGCCGAGGGCGCCGTCATCTCCGCCGCGCAAAAGGCCTGCTCGGCCTGCGCCATGGCGTCCCCCGTTCGATCTGCGGACCGCGGGGCCGGGGCGGATGGAAACGGCTGCGGTCCCCGCACGGTTTCGGGCGGTGGATTTCGGGTGCTGAGGGTGTAGGGGGGCTGGGAGTATCTGCATGTTCTGGGGCAACATGAAGATTCAAGATCATAGGTGAGTCTTTGCACCCGAATGTGGTTCAGCCTCTCGAAGGATGGGCAACTCACCTATCGATCCGCTCGAAGAGCGACCTGGATAGTGTCTAGAGTCTAAAGAAAGGAATGCGGCAGCACTCAGTCCAGCAAAACCCCAAAGGCTCTGCCAAAGCTGGGAATTCGACAAGGCGTGTGTGTTGATTTTCTGTCTCAGCCACGGTCACTGGGCTGCAATCCATTGATAGAGGCTAGTCACCCAGCACTTGCATGTTCAAAAGTGTGGGTGCGGTCGTTCATTCTAGCGGCTAGTCACTAGATGTCACCCATTCGACCCATTCGATGATTGAAACAACCAATCGTGGAGACTGGGACGATCCTGTTCTTTCCACCGTTCATCCACCCGTTCCCAGGAAGCACCGACTTCCCGTTCCACCGTTCCCGGGAACCCATACCCACCGCGAGCTCCCTTTTGGAGGGCAAAGCGCGGCCACTGGACCTCGTCCGCCACCCTTCTCCGCCACCGCGGCCACCGCCTTTTCACCTGGGCCCCCGTGGTCCGGTGCCCCGAAAGGGGTGGTCCAGTCCCGGTGGGACGAATGAAAGTCCCATGGCAATTGGAAACGGTTCGCTTTCTGCGAAAGTCCTCCAGAAGCGTAACGCACATAGAAAAAGAGTGGCTTTCGTCCAGGGTTCAGTAGATCCATTGAGTGTTGCGTTGAGATTCACCTTTGGCAATGCCACCCATTCCACCCATTCCGCCCCCTGCATGGGAGCTACACTCCGTAGGCCTTTTTATGAAGATCCTCCTGTTTCGACCTCGCAAAGTGAACACCTAAGATTTCGACCTCGCACATCTTAGCTTTGAAGCTTTGGAGCCCAGATGCTTTGAATCCAAGATTTACAGAAGCTCAGAGGTGCAGGATGGTGCGGGAACCCTCATGACCATCAATTCCATTGATGTGTCTTTCTCTTGCTGCGATTTTGCAAAGTGGGTATTGCTGGTGTCTCAGCCGCTGTTCGGGATAAATAGTATCACTCTGGGTTTAATATTTGGCTTGATGTTTGATCAGGTGCTCTTTCAGAAGTTGTATTATACATATAAGTTCTCCCACAAGAAACAAGGTGGACACAGCGTCGTCCGTGTCGTCCGACGGACCCGTTCCACCTCTCAGGTCACGGCGCCCAGTCGCGACCAGCATCCCTCATCCCGGGATGGGAAGCATTGAACATCGAGGATTGAACACTTAAGAAACTATATCGTATCTATTCCATATCTTTGCTGGATTTGATTGTCTGACCTTGCTGGATTGAGGTGTCTCTTGCTGGATTGCTGGATTCATCCTACATATGACATCCGGGATTGATAGTGAGGATGCATGGATGATCATGGATGCATGACCTCTTGGATTGGTCTTCCTTACCGCGCTTCACACCGTCTCTAACCCGCGGTTCACACCGGCTCGACCGTCTCTTCGCACCGTGTCACAGGCCCCCACCACCGCATTGACCGCCCGTGGATCCTTGGACGCCGCCTGTGGTGCGCCGAGGAATCGTCGAGCCGAACTGGTGTTGGGGACAGGAACAGAAGGGTTCCAGCTGCCTTCTCCCTGCATGCGGAGTCCAGACTGGTCCAGACTGGTCCAGATGTCCTCGCTCCCCCACGGAGTCGACAGGGAACCGATCATCGGAGTGAAGCTGATTTCGCCCACAACTGATGATCTTCTTTTTTTGTGAATGCGTTGGAGCTCACAAGAACGTCCGTATGTCCCCGTCTTGTCAATCCCTCTGACTTTTAGGAGGCACCCTAGGAAGGCTTACAACAAAGGTCTAACTTGGCTGCTCAATTTTGGATGCTTGAACATGTAAAAATGAACAAGTTTGTTCATAAACAGCTCATGACAATCTAGCCGCTGAAACAAAGGAAACCCAGAAAGAATTCTCTTCGCGACAGCCATCCCTTCCCCCCATCAATGGGTCAACCTGGCTCTTTCGCTCTTTCGAACCTTCGTGCTTCACGGGTGCCCCTTTTCGCTCGGTCGGCACGGTCGACGGGACCGGCGCGGTCGTCTCGCCTCCAAGAGCCGCAGGGCTCGACGCCAATGCCCTGCCAGGGCCAGGGCGTGAAGCGCCGCGTTCCACGCGTTCGGGTGCCGCGCACCGGTCACGAGCAGCAAGGCCACTTGCCAGGCATCCTGTCGGGGCGTTCGCTCGGTTTTGGGTCGCGACCAAAACCGGAGGGTGAGACGCTGAGACGAAGTGTGGAAGTGGACAAAGTGACTTAGATAGAGGTCACTTTTCCTCGACCTCCTCAGGTCTTTGTCCACTTTCATGTTAAATTGGCCCCTTGAAAGACGAGTTTGCTCCACCTAACAGATCTATTTCCCAGTTCCATGTTTGTTGCAGAGAGGGTGTGCTGGTACTCTCCGCCAATTTCGGTTCTATATCACCCTTAGCTCTTAACGGAAACAGCGCAGTGTTCCAATAGAAACCTCTCAAAGGAAACCAACTTGAACATCGGCAGCAAAATGATGCTCCTCCCTTCTTTTCCTCTTCTTCCTCTTCCTCTTCCTCTTCCCCGTCTTCTTTATCATCTCACAGTAGCAGCACCTTAAACCGGATGGCCACAGTCCGTATTGGCCAAAGTGAACACCCAGAGCTGCAGGTACCCAACCACCATTTGTTTAACCCAAAAAGACCGTGAAAAAAGAGGATCGACCAGCATCTGCAGCCCATTATATTGCAGCCAAACCAACTACCACAGCTTTCGACAAAAGAAAAACACTACCCACACCCCATTAATTCGCCTGACAAGCGCTGACCACCGCGTTGTAGGTGATGCTCGTTGTTCGGAGCTGCATCTCCTAAGCAAGCGAACGAGCAGACTGTCGGACACAAAAAAACACAAAAACTGTCATGAAGATTCCCTGCGGCCCTGACCATCTAGAACTTCACGAACTTTGCTGGACTATATAACTGACTGTGAATCCCAAACATTAGCTGTGAATCTACCAGATGAACTATGAACCTACCCCAATCTATAAGATCTATCGGATCTTTCTTGGATGGATCGCTCTCGCCCCCCACCTTCTCCGTCTTCGGGTTTTCGGAGGTTGCATGACCCACGTTCGCATGTCAAGGTCGATGCTGAAAGGGTGACAATATGGGTGTGTAGCTCAGTCTGACGGACCCCTGGCAAAGACAGTTCGGGAAATAGACCTATCTACCCAGTCAGCCGATTAAATATACATACCGATTGCTTCCTCCAAAGTTCCAAAGACATGTCCTTTTCATTCCTTTTCTGCGTCAAGGGATGTCATGGACACTACTTGGGACATGAAAGTAGAACCGCCCACCGCGGAGCCTTCCGCTGGCTCCGGAACTGAGAAAAGTGGGTCACCCACCCACCTCCGGCGTCTTCCTGCTGCCGAGACGCTCCAACTCCGGCGAGCAAGATCAACGCGGTGGGCCAGTGGATGCAATTGCTGATGGCAGAGTTGTAGCTGATCACATCCTCGGATTTCCATACTCTTCCATTTGGCCCACCCTTTGAGGTCCGGACCCAAAATGATATACCCATCCGAAAATGTCCAAACCTGTCCTTCTCATCGAAACCTGAAGCCTTTTGAGGTTCAAAAACTCCATCCCCATCTTTAACCCCCCATTTCACACCCCCACTGCGAACGCCGACCAGCCCCCACCGCTCCCCTCCTAAGAGCTCGTAACCGAAGGCTCCCCAAGGCGCAGGCACCGAAGTTCCTGCAACATCTGCCTCGAAGCTCCCGGCCGAGGCTTCGCGAGCCGTGGGTGAATTTCACCACGGGGTGAAGCCCAAAGAAAAGACCATTAGGGTTGAAACGATGTTCGGCGTCATCGCCTCATGTCACTTCTTTGGATTGATGAAGTCTACTTGATGATGGTTCTAAGATACGAAGAAGACCTGACCAACGCATGACGCTCAGCTCCGGTCTTAGAGTCTCGTCTGGACGACGGCTACACTTGGCTTTTGCGCTTGTGACCTCACTTGAACAGCCCAGTGTTCTTAGAATCAAAAACAAAAGCATCATAGAGCATTGAACTGACGAAACGTGCTTCAAGAACGACTCCGCCTCCACCTCCGCCAGCTACGCCTTTTCATACGCCCATGAAACAAGAACAAAAAGACCTCCGTTCCATCCCACCATACCCATCATTTGCCTTGCCGGCCTTGCCCATTTGTCCTCACCAACTTCCATCCAAAAAAAAGCCCCCCATGAGTTCCATTTCATTGCAAGTCACATTCCCCTTTCCCAGTGCTCCACCCCAGCACCGGCCAGCACCGCATTGCACCCGTCGACATCGCCCTTCCTGAGGCAAACAAGCCCAGCACGCCAGCGGCTGGCGAGCGCGCGCACGGCGGCCGACGGGGGCACCGGAGCCCACGGTTGAGACAGGACGTATAGGGCACTGGGCCATTCCTGGAGGCGGTGTTTTGGATGGGCGGTCGTTGAGTCATGGGCGGGCCATGCTGGTGTTTCGTGGGAACGAAATCAGTGTGGCTCCACAACAAAGGAATCACAGAAGTAGTGCCCAAGAGGGTTTTCCCTCTTCTATAAGTAGTTCTAGGAGTTCACCTCGTGCAGCTAGACATCTAAGCAGAGCCTGGAGTATTATATACGTCCTCTGCTCAAGCACAAAGGAGGACTCGTCACTTGCAAGAATGCTGATAATGCAACTATGGCCTTGAAACATTTCGCAAACTATGCAATGGCAAAATTGCATCACTACGCTTGTCCCTAACCAGTCAACCCGCAGCCTTATGCCCAGCAAGAGTACCTGCTCGAGTTTGACAAGCCAAGCAGGCCAATTGAATGAACACCGGCGGCGGTCCGATCAAACCAGCCAAACCAACCACCTGAAACAGCCTCCACCCAACAACAACCAACCGAAAACTCTCTCCCGCTTCATTCAAGCAACTAAAACCCTCAACGGTATCCTATTCCCCAATGCTTTCCAGCTTCCCACCCATTCTCCTCCGCTTCCCCACAGGCCACCACCGCTGCTGTGGCCGCCGGGGTGTCGGGCGCCGCGCGGCCTTCGACTGCCTCGCGCAGCAGTGACAGGGCCAGGAGCCAGCGGGCGCCCAGCGCGCTCAAGGCTGCGGTGTAGAGGACCTGGGCGCGGGGAGAGTGAAATTGGAGGAGGTAGGAGGGGAGAAGAGATGGGAGATGGGAGTGGTGAATTTTTGAATGCACTGATGGACTTTTTGGAGTGGGTGACAGAATCAGGTAGGTGGTGGGGAAACTGCGAGGAGAGTAGGCAGGAGATGCTTCAGTAGATGACCTCTTCTAGAGTCTAGAGGTCATGAAGTAGATGACCGTGTCGTCCAAGAGATTAGAAAACGATCTCTTATCTCAGTCCTACGACCGGCGTTTCTTCCCAGGTGCACTTCCAGCGCGACCTGGTGGGTCCAATCCGGAACAGGATGAAAATCAAAAGGCAATCAAAAGAGTCGGATGGTTGAGTGATTGATCCATCTTCGAGTTACTCCAGAATCATACTCGTCGCAAGAAAAGAGGTGTTTGCTGAAGTGTGAAACCAACTCAACAACCAAAGTAGAAAAGCAACTGCTCCTCAAACAAGTAAAGGGACGCTGATGGTGTATAGAATACATTGAACAAAAACAGCAGCACGTGCATCCCATAAATTTGACTGCAAGTGACATTCACATGGCAGTTGTGCTTAGTAATAAATTCCAAGTGAACTATTTTGTTTTCTCTTCAAACATATTGCCAAATCCATGCCGGAATGCTTGTCTATCCAACGGTCACACATTCCTATCTTTGGCCATATCCACCACATCACCAGCCCTGCCCTGGGTCTCCTCTCCGATGTTTTCCTTCACCAAGCTGCCAGCGTCGCCAGCCGCCCCTCGCGCGCCTCGCTCAGCACCGTCAACGCCCAAGCCCAACCGCTGCCGTCGCCGCCGCCGGCCACGGAGCCGGCGGCGCAGCGGTCGGCGGCGCTGCCGTAGCTCACGGCGCTGGGCCGCAGCGCCCGCTGCGGTGGGAGCGTGAGGAGGTCCAGGGCGTGCTCCCAGCGGTGGACAGCGTTGATGACCTCTCAATAGTGCAAGAGAAGTTATGGTCGCAAACAAAAGAACGTGGGATTGCCAGGTGTTTGCCTGGTGAAAAGAGCTAATGGTGTCAGAAATACTCATCTCCTATCACCCTTGATACACTACACATCTTACGGTTCCTCACCACTGGGGAATGAGAAGATCACATCCTTTTTGAGCTTCACTTCCTCCACCCTCCATGGGACCTCTTCCCCCCCCATCCCATCCCCCACCCCACCACCCGGTCGCCAAACCACCGAGCCACCGAGTTGAAGGAAATCACCTGCGCCCGCACCGCGTGGCCCTCCAGCTCACGCAGCACCTGCACCGCGCGGCGCCACAGGGCGCCCGGTGCTGCTGCGCCGCCGAGGGCGCTGAGGGTGGCGTTGTAGGTCACCACGGGGCACCGGAGCGAGGCTGAGGGCGACTGGCGCAGTAAACCTCGGTCGATAAGACGTTGGTGTCCAACCACGAAGCCAAGGCCTTGTAAGAAGTAGAAGTCTGAAAGAAACATATAGATTGGGTCCGGCACTGTGTTTCATGGTGTGTTTCATGATGTTTCATGATGTTTCATGGACTAGTAAGCTGGAATGGAGTGACTTTTAGAGGTCTTTCTTGGGAGTGTAAAGTTCAATGTGTCTGACTTCTTCCTTCTGGAATCTGTGGCCTTATCGTAGACCTTTGACCAAACAGTGCCCTGAGCATCTAGCACCTCTTCACAGATGAAGAAGAAACATCCTCCAACTCCAAGACTTCCTGAATCGATTCAAGAAAGGTCTCCCCCCTCCACAGGCTCCCTCTTCCATCCCCCTTTCCATCGACCACAACGACCAGGTGGCCCAGCGCCCGTCGCCACTGTCGCCCCCTTTCGCAGCTGGTCACGAGGCTGCTGTAGCCGACCACGTCGCACTGCAGCCGCCAGGGCCCAAGCTGTTCCTGGGAGGGTTCAACCGCATTGGGATTTGCAGAAAAAGTTCCTTTTTCACCAAAGCAGTCGCCACTGCCGCGAAGACGGCAAGTTCTACAGTTAATACCATAGATGCAACAAAATAACCACTTACGTACCTTTTTCTAGACTGGTTGAATGACTCTGCAAAAAAAGAGAAGGTTAGTTGGGGAGTTCCTTTGGTTGATGTGCTGTGCATCTTAGAGCCGCCCAACTGGACTAGTGTGAGCATTCAGAAACACCCAGGCCAACTGGTTCTAGAATGTAGGTTCATAAGATTTCTGGAACAAAGACGCATTCTTTCAAAATACCCAAAAGCACAGATAGTGGACAAGAAGATTCCAGGTGCTGAAACTGAGCGACCTTTCACATCGCTGTCCTATTGCCCACTATTGCCACTGGTGGTTCAGGTATCGCCGGAACCACAGAAACGCATGGGGGGGGGCCTTGTTCCATCGTTGTTAGGAGAAACGTTGAAGAACCCCTTGCAAACGGGGGAGTCCCTAAAAAAGAAACAGCCACCCTTCGGCTGCAAAGCCTCATCAAGAAGAAGCGACGGATACACATTGAAACTCCTGTTGTTCAGGCGTCTCAGTTCATCTGACTTTCACTACCAACATCTCCGATTCATCACCTCCTGCAGTTGCGTTTAAGCATCTAAGAAGAAGTGCGCCATGTGCCATTCTCCGCTGCGACCGCAAGCATTGATCAGAGAATTGAAGCTGATCACATCCTAAGTAGGTGTGATGCTGGGAGTTTAACTTGTCAAGCACAAAGACATTACAAAAAAGAGATGATGCCGATTCACCACTTGCCCCTGATGCCTGATGCGAGTGAGTCACAAGCCTCGAAAGAATGAATCAACAGCCTCTGGATCTTTGTCAGACATTGAGAGTTCCTGTCCTACACGAGTACATGTAAAACCACCATGGGCTATATTCTATATCAAAAAAAAACACACACCTCAGCACCGCACGATCTCCATTCCACGGAACTCCAGCAATCCCTCCGCCCCCGAAGACCGAAACCAGATCCCAGTGAGACACAGACTATCTGTGACAGATTCGTTGCCCAAGGTTGGGAAAACCAAAGACCACATGGGAAAACGAGTCTTGATATTTCTTGATGTGAGTCTACCCGAAGTGAGGCTGGTGAAGTGAGGCCGACCCCAGCCTCAAACTCTCAGATTCTGATGAAGTGCCCGATTTCGGGTTGTTGTCTTCGACCCAGTCCGTCCTGGAACCCTTCGACTCAACGTACGGTACATCTGAAAACGGCGATATAATGTGGCCGTGAGTCCAAAACCTTCCCAAGCAAACCCATGGTAGGAAACGACCATCCCTTTATAGAGGAAAATCGCTTCGTTGTCTTCGAAACGAACCTTCCAGTCATCGAAGAAGAACGACCTCCGTTGTCCAAGACGTCACCGATCTCTCTCGGCGTCACCGGAGGACGTCCTCCGGTGAAACCACCCTTCTTACGAGATGGGTTTGCAGGGGGCCCGGCACTACATCACGGGCTTTTTCAGTGACGGCTTCTTCTAACCTGTCCTCCTTTGGGGATTCCTTGGCGTGCAGAAAAAAAGCACTACACCTTCGCAAAAAATGCCTCAAACCGGCCATGAGTCCGGTCGCAACTCAACTTCAATGAGGCCATGCAGCAACAAGCAAGCCTCTAGCCACTGGTCCCTCTTCTTGGCAATTGCTTGGTTGTATTCCCGCAGCACCGCCATGGCCACTGCAGGCGGCGCAGATGTCTTCTGCGCAGATTCTGTACAGAGAGCTGAAGAGGTGCACAGCGATTGTAGGGAATCGAACATGATTTCGGCACAGGACATCAAGGAACACATTGGCCGAAAAGAATGAAAAAGAGGACTTACACCTCTGGTGTTATCCAACAATCGCATCCTTTTGCACCACAAACGCTGGTATGAACCTGTAATTGTCCTTTCCCAAGTTCAGTGCTCTAAAACATGCAAACTGCACACTACAAGAAACACCTGAGTCTTCCCTTGCCACGAACGAATCCCAAAGTCAAACGCGCATGTTTTCAGCTCACCTGCCCTGGGCGCCCGCGGGTCGCAACTTCCCCCGGCTCACACCGATCGCTTTCCCCAGCGAAGGTCGGTGCAAAGCCCCCTACGCGGCACCAAGCGTAGCATCAGGTTGGCCCGATGCCGCTTCCATGCCGTGCAGCCTTCGGCATGTGCCAATGCCGCAGACGGCCAAGGCAAGGCAAAAGGAAAGGAAAGGTTGATCTGAAGTCAACTGCCAATCTCATGTGCGTCAGGAGCAACAGGATGCAACATCGAGGGCTTTGGGGCTTTGGCCCAGAGATCAACATAATGATCTTGTCAGATCAACCCGCTTGAAAACAAATGGAACTGGCGTGGAGAGGAGCGGGTGGGCTTCAAAGGACAGCAGGATGATAAGACTGTGGATGTAAATCACTAGACTATGCAGTGTAGGTCAGCTCACTCTGGTCAACAAGATTGTCTGTCTGAAAGGAACAAAACAGTCAATCCCAAAGGCTGTGAACTGCGAATCCCAGGGTCTACAGAGTTCTTGAAACTTGGTACAATCCCCTTACCAGTGGATGATGGTGAGCTTGCAGGCCTTTCTCAGATGTTTGTGAATCTGTCTGCTTTACTGGGGACGCAGCCCACTTCAAACTGCTAAGTCTTCATCTCCACTGACCTATGAAGCCCAAACTCGACCTCCCACGGCTCACGCGGCTGCGCCCCGCGGGGCGCGCCCCAGCCGGGTCCCTCAGCACAGCAGGGCCACGAGCCTGTGCGGTCGTCGTTTTGGAGTTGCGACTGATGTCGCAAGGAGTTGATCCAAATGATAAACGAAGGACTCTGTATATATATATATATATATATCCAAACCCCCCTTGCAAAAGGTTAGCACCCCCAGCAACTGACACAAAGAATCCGTTGGAGATTCAAAATCTCTGCAGTTTGAACCCAAATGAACAAATCGTCCAAAAGAATTCACTGTCTTGGCTTGATCAGGAAAGAACATCCTGAGATACATTCTGCTGTCCGGCCCGCAAGTTTAGCTGGCCCTGTGCTCTTGCGTTGACGTGGAGAAGATGTGGACCCCTGTCAGGCACAAACACACATCTCCATGAGAGGTCAGAGGAAGTCTTGTTCAGGATGTTCAGGCTTGAGCCATCAACAAGTTGTAGATACTTTTCGTCGCAGTAATGCGAAGCTTTTATCGGAATGCATTGAATGCGAAGCTTCTAGTATTTCCCAGAAAAAAAACAGCAGATTGCAAGTCATTGCAAGACTTTTGGCTTAAAGTAGCTGCTATTCGCACACAACTGCAAGACTGCAAGTCCAAGGCATGGATGGGAGGGGATGTGCAAGAGCTGGCTGCCCAATACACTTTAAGGGGACTCACTTTGCTAGTCTCGTGGGCGGCCTCTACAATAAACTGTCGGCAACTTGGTGGCTTGAGCCCCTGAATTTCTTCACACTTACATTTCACTGATACTGCCAATGAGCGAAGTGACCAGTAAATTTCTTCACATCTAGATCTTAGTGATATTGCCAATGAACCAAGCGACCAGTATGAAGCACAAATTCGGCAGCCTCCTCCTATCATCAATACTATCATCCGCTCATCACATCAAGGCCTCCTGAAGCTTCTCCCGACTGAGCCCAAAGAATTGACACGTTGGCTTGGTTCCCAGATGCTGCGCAGTTCCCAGATGGTGAAAAGCCTGGCGGCTTGATATAAAGCAACGTCGTCAGACCAACATTGAGGGCCTGATCAAACCAAGTCATGGAAGCAATTCTGGACCTCCCAGCTGGCCAAAACGCCCACGCGCCCCACACACCCACCTCGCCAGCCCAGCCAGGCAGGATCCCCAATCCTGAAAGGTGATGCTGATCCTTGAGGCATCCCAAGAACAAAAAGCCCAAAAATATGTGTTTGCTGGCGACAAATTCATGCCAAGAACTTACCACAAGATAGCTTTCAGAAATCCCCTGCGTGTACGGAGCTTGAGAAGGTAGCCGCGCTGAAAAAAAAACATGCGGCACAATGAAACAAGCAAACTCTTCAGCTGCAGTGCTAAGGTACAAAACTGAGATGGTCGTGCGGAAAAAACAAGAAATCAAACATCAAGACACATCAGCTTAGATCCAAATATTGGCAACTGGGTGTGATCAGACTCTACCCAAGAAACCCCAACCACCCCCAATTCCTGGTCAGCTGCCCCAACAACTTATCCCCCTGCCCACAGGCCTGGCTGCTCCGGCTTGGCTGGACAAGTTCGAACTCGTACTCCTCCTGACATGACTGAGTTCCATATGTCAGGATAGGAGAGGCCATTTGAAAGTGGGTCTCACAACCATTTGGGCGTGTCGACCAAAGACTTGTCGGACCCCTCGGGATGCGGAAAACTGGGAGAACCCCACTTGGTCAAAGGAACCCATATGTTTTCTTGAATCCCACAGACGTTGATTTGGATTGAAAAATCA